GACTTTGCTGCCAGCGTCGAACTGATTGTTTAAATGAATATTGTCAAGCCGTCCGTCATGTGTACTGCGTCATCGACTTGAGTCAACTGTTGCTTGTCTCCTTTAACCTTAAACTCTTCTAAACTCACTTCCGTAGGATCGGCCGAATCCCGCGATGCGTCCCTGGCTATGAACTGCGGCAGCGGCACCGTAGAGGCGGGCTCCACTTCCTTGTGGTCGCCGTCGTCCAGAACAGGCGAACGCTGTCACCGACAACGTTCGGCTGTACTTTTGTCTTGGTCGCGCATGTCGATACGCACGCGATCTCAGTGTGGTCGAACTCCCGGCACTTGCGGCTCCAGGAGCCTGGCACTGCCTCCGTATGTGCCCCATCTCGTTACAGCGGAGATAGAGCGGTGGGAGACATGGCATGGAAAGCCGCATCATGTATTCACCAGTTGTTGCCTGGTGAGCAAGGTCGCCCCTGCTGACTCCCTGCTCGAAAACAGGGGTGACGCTCCTGGACGTGGTGTCTACTTTTTACTCACGGCTTGCTACTTGGCGCCCGGCATTTGTACATTTCAGAAGATTTCACTCCACTGAAAGAGGCGAGATAGCCCTCAAACTCACCATCTCTCACAAACGTAGGCAGCCAGTGCACGAGTACTGTCACATCCCTCTCGTTGGGGTGTCGACGTTAACCCACCTCCTTTCCTTCACGGTTAGTTCCTTGTGTGAAGCAAGGCGTTCCTTTGTCTCGGCGCTGTCAAGAGTACAGATAAACAGGTGGTTGAATTGGAATGTTCCCAGACCAGCCATGTGCCTCATCCCTATGCACTCCTCCAGTGAACGGCGCAATCCTGGTTTCCCTAAGACATATCTCGTGGGTCGCCGGGTAGAAAATATTTTTTCACATCAGCATCCTACGCTACTTGACATGTTTAGGAGCCCAGGAACAGGTCGACAAGGTCCCGCGTTCATGTTTTGTCTACTCGCCAAGTTGCCGCTTAGCGAGTTTGCGTGAAAGCCATGTAGGCGTCAAACACAACACTAAGCTTCTCTGCTGTGCTGCTCTCCAGGAAATAAAGCCTTGGATGGACATATGCTACACTCCACTTAAATGAACCAATAGTTCCTAGTTTGTCGTTTACCCTTTCCGCCATTCAATTCTTTTAATACAAAGAATTGCCTGCGTGCACATTTGAAGTCGGTCAGGTTGTTTACTGTCTTTCGTAGATTTTCCGAACTCTTCCTATCATCTTTTAGTCGCACATTAAACTTATCTCCGACATCCACGGAAAGTCAAACTCGTATTTGCTACTAGTCTTGTTAGTTGTAACACCTAATTTCTACCTGACATGGTTTTGGAAAGGGTCTGCGGCTGGCGGGTGTTTGACGCCCACGCGCTCGAACTCCCAGGATTTCTTAAGAGACGACGTGGTTTCCGATGCTGGCATCGTGGCTCTCAGCGCGATGTTTTGTGAGGAACTCAGAGCCATTTAGTGTGATCCTCTTTTTGCTTGAAATGCCCACTCAAACACAGATTTTCCTCAATCAGACTCCTACTTACTAAGCGAATGCGTATTGTGATACACTCCCACTGGTGGTTGGGCCGCAGCAGGATGTCGCCGCCGTGATGTTCTAGTGCGACCAGGAGGTCTCCACTGGGTCGAGTACTTCCAATTTAGAAATGTTTATAATATGCATCCATTGGGAATCGGTACACCATGTTCACATACATAATAGGCATTTAAAAGGAGCCGACATTGTAATATATTTTTGCTTTAGTCTCACAAGATAACCTCAACTTTGCCAAACGTGCGTATCTACCTGTCTCCTCTGAACACTCCGATGCCCAGGATTTTGTTCTCAAGAAGTTTATAGTGAAGTCTGTTTTACATTTCTTTCGTTACAAATGTGAGTTGACTGCTCTTTTTAGCCTAATTGTGGCGAACGTCCTACTTTTGTTGTTCTCGACCCTAGCTGCTACCAAGTGTGGGACTGCCGAACTAAAGGCGCTAAAAGCTCAAAGTATTAGTAAACGGATGTGGGCCATCGCGTTCTGGGGTGTACATCGTTTTTTTTACTACCCGTTTGTGTTTTAGCGCTTTTAATTATTCTTCTTTCTGACGTACCTTTTCGTTGTCTGGAGATTTACGGGTGTCGTGTTTACGTTGTCTTCTATCGTTTTTTTGTTCGATCGCGATTCTTTTCGTTCACGGATAAGTTCCAAGCACACAGGGTAGAAGCATAGCTGCCTCGACAATAGATGCAAGATAGTGTAGCAACCAGTGGTACGGAATAATGCATGATTTTACGTGCAACTCTTTACAAAACAAACCAGACAGAGGCTGGCATCACCTGGTGCAGCCCACGGGTCCTTTGGTTCCTGTGTCATGTGTGAGGTGTTTGCGGCTACTGCTTTATAGAACTACACGCAACTCTGACGTCACGCCTTTGCGGTGGCGCTGTTGTCGCCAGTGCGCAAGCGCAGAAGCTTCACCTCACGCAAATCTGCTTTATGCTCTCACGCAGTGCAAACACATGTGGTCTGCAAACGCGGACTTGTTTATAAACAGTGTGTCGGTCTATATATTGCTCACGCTCGCCGACACTTTTTGTTCCGTGACGCCACTACCACAAATTCCTCCCCCCTCCCCCTTGGACAGAAGGCCCGGGGCACTTGTGCTGGAGGTGTGCTGTAGCCGACAGCATATTCCTGGTATATTGGAGTAGTAATGTCAAGAAGGGATAAAAATGCGGGTTTCAGGCGATATAATAAAACAGTCCCTCGAGAGTCCCTTTTGAAGCACCGTGTGGAATTTTCAAGTTCTGTTTACAAAAACATGTATTTGCATATTTTTGAGGTGCGTTCTGCTTTGTGCACCTGAAGTACCGCCGGTCAGCTGGTTGCATGCGTTTCTTGTTCGAGGGGTCTGTTAATGTGTCGCAGCTCACCATCGTGTATGTCTTCGACATAAAGATAACATAATAAAAGTCGTTAGCACTGATGTGCAAGGCTACCGAAGACGACTTTCTCTGTTTTTATAGCGGGCATGTTTCTTCACGCGCCTGAAAAGAAAGATAAGCTCACCAGTGACGCCTTCCGATGGATGTTTGTTAGAAGCTTTATGGATCTCCACTTTGAAATGGAGAAAATTGAGAAAATCGCGCAGCATTCCGTGGTGCACACACCCTGAAAAACAAATTTCAGTAGGACGCTTAAGCTTCGCCTTAATGAGTGAGACGGAATAGCTTAATACAAACCCCCGCTCGTTCCCAAGCGATGCAAGCGTGTCTGCGTGGTCTAGTCTGTAACGTGTCTGGCTCGCAATCGAAGGGTCGTTTTTTTTAATCCCACCTCCGGCTAGAAGTCCTCGGATTTTTTAAGGCAGCTTAATTAATTTATAATGACATGCGGCAACCTTTCATTCGTATTATATGTCATGTTTTATTCCCGTTATTCCACGCGTGACATGTCTCGTCCCCTGCATTCGTCTAATGCGTTGTAACGCGGAGTGCAGGCATCCGGTGCTCGACTCTCTCATTCAAACTCCATATACGAGAGCAGGGGAGACAAATGTACCTAATGTTAGCCACCCTCACTCATAATTTGAATGAGAACTCGGCGTTCTTGCCGTTTTGGAACGGCGCACCGGAGTTGTAGGCTGTAGCAATACCACCTTCCGTCCCCCCACTTGATAGTCGTGCATTGCATCGGGACGATGTTATCCCTCTCAACCAGGAGCCAGTTTCGCTCCTTCCGTTGGCGACTTTAACCGCTGTTATCGATTTCGCCATGTCGCGCAGCAGATGACGCACTATTTTGTCAAAAGCCAAGGGGACGCCTTACGCTCGTGGGCGAAGCAGTTATTGGGCTTTCATTGTGTGACTAAATGTAAATGGTACACTGCGACTTTTTTTTTTTCGCTGCTCGTTTCCTGTTGTTCACAGTAGGTAGGTATGGCCCCGACCAGCTCCTTCCCGCGGTTTTTCAGCACCACTTGAACACGCACTTCGAGACACACTTTGGCTTTCGTGTCGGCTCCCAACGGCCGTTGAGGGCAACAATGCGATGTGGCAACGAGGCAGAGACAAAGAATCCTCCCGAAGCGATGAAATATTGCTTTCTATCTGGATTCTCCTGACTTTAGGCACTTCTTCTCAGTGCGAATATCAAATATATTTTAAATATTTGTTTTAAGAGAACACCTTTGAGACGCTTGTTTCCGGCTTCAGCGGCGTCGCCGTTGGCGTCGGCGTGACCGCGCGCGTTGCATTATGACAAATTGTTCCGCTAAATTTAGCGGAAATATTTTCACACTAAATTTGGCAAGGAAACTTAACCCGCTAAATTTAGCGGGAAAATGGACGTCACGTGACCTCAACACCAATTCAGTTTCCCCGCTAAATTTTGCGGAAAAATGTTGGTTAAATTTCCGCTTTAAATGTAGGGGAAGTTTTTTTTAAATTTCTGCTAAATTTTGAGAAAAAAGTTTTGTTAAATGTTACGCTAAATTTAGCCGGAATGTTTCCCCACTGAATTTAGCGGAGAAATTTTCGCTAAATAGAGCGGGAAATTTCGCGAACATTTTTCGCTAAATGGGAGGGCAGCAAGCGAGGAGGAGGAGAGGTACGGAGGGGGAGAAGTTGCAGACCTTCCCCTCCGTACCTTCCCCTCCTTCTCCTCAAGACCTGCGCTCTAATTAGGCATTACAGAAAATTATGAACGTCTTTATATTTCTCTCTCTCCGTTTTTTTTTTTGAGGGGGGGGGGGGCGACGGGGGGGGGGGGCGGTAGGGGGGGGGGGGGGCGTGACGGTTGTTTGAAGTAAGTTGTAATTTGAGTAGGGTTACTCGGCAAAACAAAATGTGTAATTTTTTTTTTTACGGAAACGAAAGGCAACTTTGCAAGTTACTCAAAACTAGGGTAATTTAATTGGTTGAATTGCTTAAAACAATGGCGCCCAAAGTCCTTCAGAGCAAGATCATATAATATATTACGCCCTTCATCGCTGCAGGTGAAGGTTGTTGACGCCCAAGGCAGGATCGTTCCCGTGAACACAAAGGGAGAGTTGTGCACCCGAGGACCACACGTCTTCAAGGGCTACCTCAACGATGACGCCATGACAAAGGAAGCAATTCGAGATAACTGGTACCACACAGGGTAAGGAAGGCAGTCCCGTAGGCCACAGTGCAGGCAGCTTTGATGAAACCTTCGACACTTCGATGCAGAAATATACGGATATTAACCATGTCTGTTTCCAAAAGTGTGCCTGCTAATGAATGTGCGAACAAAACCGGCGTCTGGCAACAATACCGAGTAACGAACACGTCTTCCTTCCTGGACAAGATTTTCCAACATACTGAGCAGTGGGGGGGAAACTCGGCAACATTTTTGCGTGAACACATTTTTCTGTTCTTTATTAAACCTTTGCTGCATATAAAGATACTGTAAACAACTTATTTTTGGCGGGCTCAATGTTTCGAGATTTAGGTTAAAGCTGAAATTTTTGAATAATTCGCGGGTTCTAATTTTTGCGACATGGTGGGATCACGACATAGCTTTCAATGTGTCTAAATTTTACTGGAATTGCTCGCGGAGCCTATTTTTGGCGAATTGGAGGCGATGCTCGAAATTCGCAATAATTAGGTCCTCGCGAAAATTAAGTTGTTTACAGCAATCAAAATCAGTGATATTACTATACAAAAACAAACTCGCATTCAATTCCAAGCTTACCTTCAAAATATAATAATAACAAATATGACAGATAGTCGGCTTGTGCGATTTTACCCATAACGTTCTGAACACGTGTCATTAAAGTGTACCAGAAGGTGAAACCCACGGTCGAACACTTATTTTAAAGTAAGTGAGAGAAGCTAGATTGGTGGAAAGAACAATATTCGTCTTAATAAAGTGTTTGAGTGTTCCTATATATTATTGTACCTTTTTTATATATTCAATGAACAGATATTAAACATTAATTCCATATTCATGTCTTGACACTCTCACTGAGCGTGTTATCCTCGAAAAAAAATCTTATGCAGCACCGCGCCGTCCCATATATAGGGTGACCATAATCCTCAAGGCAGAAAACGGGACATCTTAGCGGAAGAGAGGGAGGGGGGGCGTACTAAAGTTTGAGATTGAGAAAAAAATCTAATCGAATTCTATATGCGTGCTATATCTACATGATTCTACATCCGTGCGATATCCAGTAACTCAAAAACATATTTCTACACATGCGTCTTCACGAGAGAGAGAGTGTTTGTGGGCAAGAACAGTTCTACATTTTACTCTCTGGGCAAGTATTTTAAAGTACCTACGGTTATTTTTGTAAACGAATAGGCATATTTTCAGTTTGCTTCAACTCGCTTGGTGCCAATTTCGAAACTATGTACTCCTGCAAAAACGGGACATGATTCTATATTGGGACAAAACGACGGGACGGCAGAAGCGGACTTCAAAAACAGGACTGTCCCGGCCAAAACGGGACGTCTGGTCACCCTACCCATATATGAACGTTTTTATTGAGGCATGACATATACCATCTGACAGGACTACTAATTTTAATAAAACAAGAGAGAAATCTAATGTTTTGATGTGCCTGTCTAATGTATCTTCGATACACTGTGTTACATTTATCGCGCTTGCTTTCTTAATAACCGGTGTACAAGAACAGCTTGGTTATTTGAGCCCTATCAGTAACCCCATTATGTTTCTTTGTATGTGATGAGTTCACGAATTTCCCGTTCGATACCATCCTGCCACGGATACATGTAATTAAAGTACAAATTATTTACTCGTTTATACTTGTGCCTTTTGAATTTTGAACTCTCACGCGTATTTCCATTTTGAGAAAGTGTTGCTGCTTAGTTTGCAGTTACTCGTTTCTTTAAAAGCTGAAGTCCAGTTCAATTCCTCCATGTTTTGCAGTCTAGCGTGTCCTGTATTTATACAGCGGTGTTCGCAACTTTGCGCTGTTTTTTTCCCACATTTACTTTCGGTGATCTAGTCCGATGTGAAAAAGATGGTAATATATTTTTGGAAACAATATACTGCGTCAGCTAAAAGTAGGGATCTCACATGGAGTCACCTCTTCTTTTAATGCTATTTGTTTATTCACTCTTAGCGCCAACTTTGTGAATTGCCTTTCCGTAGTGTCTGCACCTTGCATTTAAGGCAACTTATAATTACTAATTCCTTAAAAAAAAGTGCATATATATATATATATATATATATATATATATATATATATATATATATATAGATATATATATATAAACATTTGTTCAATGCCTGAACAGGTATCGTGGATAGCAAAATAAACCGGAAACAAAAACAATAGGCTCTAGATCCGCTTCGCAAAACTTGCTTCAAGTGACTCCAAAGCTTGCTTTATACGGAGTCTACCTTCCAAGATATTAGCATATTTGTAATAACGCATGGTTCAAAATGTTCCTCGTGATGTAAATATTGTGGAAATATTTTTTTTTTGTTTTTGATCAAGTGTTTGGTTGTTGTTGGTGTTTTGCGATTTTTCGTTGTGTTGGAAGTGTTTTACTTTTTTCTTACGAAAATCTTTTTGAAGTGCAGTGCTCTATTATAGAGGACCTGACGAGGCTTCCGAGATCGCCTAAATCTGGGGTAACTCACTCTGAAGGTTGTGATCTCAGCGACCTTAACATTTCTAAAACACGATCACGCGCGGGCGGTTTCCCTATTAAAAATCGACCAAATATCGCAACGCACCGAGGTCATCTCATGCGATGCACTTAAAAAAAAAAGGTTATGACCTTACACCCTTTTGTCCCATATAATGCACCCCAACACTTCAGGTTGACGTACAGCGCACTATAGTCGAGCAGACGGCCCCAAAGTTTACGAGGGACTTAATAACGGTGCGATATAACTTATTAAATACCTGAAATACGTATGAAAGACCGCAGAAAGAAAAAACTGATGTTTTGCAGTAGGGCCGAGAAAACCCCAATTATTTTTTTTAAAGTCAGTATTACGTACATTAGCTATTTTAATAAGTTATACCACACGGCTATCAAGCCTCTCGGGAAAGTTGGTACCGTCAATTCGACGTCAGTGCGCTGTACGTCGAATTGAAGTTTTGGGGTGTATTATATGCGACAAAGGCTGTAAGAATACACCTTTTTCTGAGAGTGTCGGATGAGCATGCTCCGGTAGCCAGGACGACGTGTGACTAGTTACACGCGACATTTTGTGAAGATTGCGAACGCTGTTATTACAAAAAGTATATGCGTTTGTAGATAACAGCAAATAAGAGTATGAGACAAATCAAATTTTCGCGGAGGTAGAACCTAATAATGCAATAACCCTTTCACAAAAAAAAAAAACACTGCTGTTTTTTTTTTTTTTGTCTTCCGCGGGAGTGATGTGTCAGGTCTTCTACTGGTGTGCTGTCGAGCCCACGTTCGCTGGGCTGCATCATCGGTCTTCTTCGCGCAGATTCCGTCTACGAAGGTGATTTCCAAGCGTGGTTTGCGATCTGCCATCATCCGCGAGTCCACGCCTTTTTATCACACCTACGACTGCGCGACTGACTTAAAAAACTCGCCAAAGCCCGAATGTCCGGCCTGCCCGGGCGACGAGGTTTGCGCATTGAAGATATCACTCCGCGGGCCCACGGGTCGGAGACGCGAGGATCCTTCGCTTGCTATTGGGCAGGAGATCGAACTATAGGGGGCGCTCTGACCCGTTTGTTTTCCCCACGCTCGGTGTTTACTCAACACAAGGCCTGTGCACATGCCGACAGGCCTTGTGGGCATGTCCATGTCATCTTCTACAATAAAGCGCGGGGCACAGTTTAATGTAATAAATACTAACAATCGACGAAGCGACGTTAAGTGCCGGATCTATCCTCAGAGAATGCGAGCTTGACCCACTTCGGCTTTTGTGCTGAGCTGGGGCCGTGCATGCTGCATTGTTCATGCAGGCCGTAGTGGAAACAAAAGAGCCCCTCCTCCTCCTCGCTGGAAAACACGAACTCCAGCCGAACGCTGACGCCGCGTTCGGTTATGTCGGCCGAGCACTGAGTCATTGTATTTGTTGTCCGCATCCGTGTAGTTCTAAAGTTAAGCGCGTGGTGCTTCACGGTCTGACCTCCTCCCCAATAGGCCGACAGCGGTCCTGGTTTCGTAACGTGCTCCTCCTATCGCCACCTAAGATGACCTCGGTGTGTTGCGATTTTTGATTGTATTTTTAATAGTTAACTCGGCCACGTATCATAATGATTTAAATATTTCTAGGATGTCTGGAGTCAGCAGACTGAGTTATCGCAATATTTAAGCGATCTCAGACACATCCTCTGAACCCCTTTTAGAAATCCACTCTATAGAGGGGATCTCTTTCTAGAAATCCCCTCTATGTTTACAGCAATAAAATAGGATTGCTGCCTTCAAAGAAGAGTAGTAAGAGGGCGAGTGCACAATTTTTAAGCATGCCTTCAAAGAGTTTTAACTGTGTGACCTCTCGCTCACAGGGACGAGGGGACGATAAGTGAGGACGGTCGAATCACATACCTGGGCCGCATGAAAGAAACGATTTTTCATGTTAGTGTGGGCGTGTCGCCGCTGGAGATCGAGAATCTGCTCAACACACACCTGGATGTGGAGGAGGCGCAGGTATGTTTTCTAAACTACTGGAGACGGCAGGAAATGTGCATGCTTAGATACCAGAAAGTTGTTTTTCACATTTATCCTTAGCTGATCGGACTCCAACCTCTTACGGTCGCTTACGACGACAGACCACATTGGCACCAACTATTGAGGAGCCCTAGAACACTTCCGCTTCTCTTTTATTTTCTGATTTTTTTTTACTGGCTATTGTTTCACCATCCGCGTGCAATACTTTGTTACAATGTTAGTAGCGATCACATCTAAAAATATGGAGGAAATGCGATCTTGCAACTACTGCCGGACCTTCAATCTAGCTATGCGCCGCTCCAGAACTATACCTAGCAGATGGCGCCAGTGTACCAGTGTATTTCACTGACAAGTGGCTTCCTCTCTCGTCGTAAGCGGCTCCAAGAGATGAGTACAAACTCGGTCAGAGTGAACTCCAAGGCCAAGAAAGATTTGGGCTCATTTGACAAAGGAAAGTGTGAGGATTATGTCGCGAATTCATAGCGAGCAGACGTTCTCCTATTAATCCAGCATCGCAAGTGAGCTTCCTTATATTTTCTCTTCTGTCCTCACTGTTGATAACTTTATGATGACTTCATTTATTCAGGGCAGTCGTGAAATCATTGACTTAGTGGTCGCTACAGAAAATATTTTTAACACTCTTTCGCAATTAGACACTAAACTTCGAGTGGCCCAGATGAATTTCCTAACATTTTCTTTTGAAGGTACGCTAAATGGTGTTTCGAGTTTCTTTATGGTGATTTACTCTTGCAGTTTAAAAACTTGTGACTTGCCTCAAGATTGGAAACTAGCCAAGTGGTCCCTATATATATAAGTGGAGAAAAAACGTATGTTTGCAATTAAATATCAGTGTCATTTTTGAGCACATGTAGTAATGTGCTCGAACACTTCATATTTATGCAGATCGTAACTTTTCTATAATCTAAAACTTGCTTAGTAGATTATCAACACGAGTTTCCACGAGGCTTTTCGGCAGTGACACAGCTTCTTCATGCTGTCCACACTTTTGTTTCATTGATTTATAACCATGGTCATGTCAACACTGTCTTAGATTTTGCGAAGGCGTTCGACAGGGCTTCGCATCGCAAGCTGCTGCATTAATTCTAGCAAGTGTTAGGCAATGCCGAATCAATAGAGCTATCTGTTCTTTCTCGAGTGCCCCAGGGCTCGGTACTCGGACCGTTGCTCTTTTTTAGGTTTTATCAATAACCGCCGAGTTGATAAGCCCTGGATACAGTGCCATATTTTTTGATAATGTTTGTGTTTTATTTTTAAGATATCTTATTTATCCAACCAAAAATGCTTAGGAGAGATTATTCACATAATGTTATTCTGTTGTCAAAAAAGGCAAGTGAATCTGAATGTCAAGAAATATGTGCTAATGTCAGTTAGACTGGAGAAGGGGCCTCTCTTCTTTTACACTATCATTCATATACCTTAGAAGTAGTTAATGAGTACAAGTATCTAGGTGTTACTATCACGTCCATATTAAGCTGGGCTATTCATATTAAGCAAATTATCACAAAAGCGTCAAGCTCTCAGTGCGTAAGAAAATGCGTCACTGTAGTTTTGCGACAAAGCTGAGGCTCCTAAATCGCTGATACGTCCTTTGCCGGAATAGAATAGCATCGCATGGGACTCACACTCACAATCGCGTATTGATCAATTGGAAGGCCTTCAAAACAAATCTCTCAGATTTATTTTTAACTCGCACAGCAAAGATTCGAACACGACACCATTGTATACCGCCTCCGTCGTGTGTATAATATCATGTCGAAGTAAAGTAAAGTGTTTGAAATTTTTGCATAATATGACTACTAATAAAGCTGGTTCAAAGTTTGGTAATTATTTGCAGTATAACGCGAGTCCTGATAGAAGGCAGAAGCACGAGAATTTGCTCCTTGAGTTCCGTTGTAGAAGATATGTTTTTGAATACTCCTTTTTTCCTCCTTTTGCTTGTGAGTGGAATGAGTTGCCTCCAAATATGACGTCGATTGCTTCTCCCGCTTTACTTACAAGTGCAGCTGAACAACTTTTTTATGTCACCAATGACTAAGCCCCTTTTAATTGTTGTGTTTCTCGACTCATTGATTGTTTCTCATGTTGTCTTATTATGCCTTGCCGCACAAAATTTTGCCGGCAGTATTCTCAAATATTTAAATAAATAAATAAATAAGCTCAAATGTGGGCACCAGTCGTTACTTAGAACGAATTCGAAGAAACCCCGTAACATCTTCGAGTCACATTAAAAACCAACAAAGAAAAACCGTATTTAACTGATTCCTCTATCTCGGATGCACGTATATTAATGCATACACTAAGTGACTCAGCTAACTTTGTCAGAGAGTTCCGGTTGCGTATAGTAATTTGTGGTGACAATGTTGAGTAACAAGAGAAAAGTGGACACGCTGGTGGATATGCTGTGGAAGGATGTTAAATATGTTTTTTTTTAGAGACTAAAATATATATCTATATTTTATTATTTTATCTAACCTTTTATCACACTTACTCGAACAAGAAATACTGCCAAAAGATTGGAATGCGGGGATGGTGATTCGTCTTGACATAAGTGGTGACAAGCACAATGCTGTCAATTGCCGTTTCGATTTTATAACAAGAATTTCATGCAGAATTGTTCAAAAAACAATTTATTTCTCAACTTGTTAACTTTCTCGACTGCAACTCTTTTTCTCCCTTACAGAACACGGTTTTTAGAAATTTCGATACTGTGAACTCTAACTTATAAAATGTACTCCTTACCTTCACGTCGTTGTCTACAGGGGGTTCAAAAACGCCTACATATTTATTAATTTCTAAAAAAACTTTAGCAATTTTTCTCAAAAACTTCTACTTTGTAGACTTCGTAACGTTAAAACTGACCTAAAAGTACGTTCTATAATTATATATGTCCTAATAAACGGTTACCATTTTTTATGCTCACCAAACTAGTCCTTTAGTTGCGCGTGTTGCCTCTGGTGTTCCCCAAGGGTTTTTGTTGGGTCCGATTTTATTTCGTATTTATATCAGCGATCTTCCCAAGTATGCCTCAGTTTGAATTCGTGTATTTTCCAATGACTGTGTGATTCGCAAGAAAATGACCAACTACACTGACACCGCTGCTTCTCCGCTTGACATGAACAAAGTCGTTCAATGACGCAACAAATAGTTTAGGAACATAACATACTGAATTATTTATCAATGAGAGTATTCCATAGAAATAAAACTGATCATTATTATCATATCACCAATCCATCCTTGATCTCTATAACGTGATATATGTATATTGGAGTGCACATAGCAACTTACATCTCCTAGCGCAATTATTTAGACTATGTCACTGATGACGCTAATTGTTTATTCGGCTATCTCAAAAAAAAACTTTTCACTCGACCGTGCTGAAGGTCAGCGCCGAGGTGGAGGAGTGGGCGTAGTGTGGCGCAATACATCAGTATGGCAGAAGGAGCCACGAGAGTGCTGGGACCATATTTGGGGTGACAGGGGAGATAATATGTATCCCTGTAGCCGTTTGCATCGTGTACCTGTCGGTGGGAACTGCGCGCAGAGAAGAGAACCAGCGTTTAATGGCTTGTGTGACAACCGATGCCAAGGCGCTTGCTGCTACAAGAGAGACTCTTATTATGGGTGACTTCAACGGACACCTGCATGAACTGGATGGACTGGAGGACGAGAATGGACGAATGATGATGCTGATGGCCGAAGATAACGCTCTGGAGATAGTCAACCTTAGAGCTTCATGTGAAGGGCAATATACGTGGAATGCCCGGGGAAGCAAAACTTGCATTGACTTTGCCTTGGTTTCACAGAAGCTGGCCTCACCTTGTCCACGGAGACATCGATGAAGCTGGTGACCATAGTGTTGGGAGCGACCACAACCGAATAAGGTTACAGTTCTCAAAGGCCACAACCGAATAAGGTTACAGTTCTCAAAGGCAACACGACTATTGAGAAAACAAAAGCCGCTCGGACAGGCGGTTTCCGGCTATCACAAACGGCAGCTGAGAAAGTTGTGGAGGAGTTCGAGAACAGCAGCAAGAGGGTGAGTGCGTCTGGATATGCAGAATAGGTGGACGAATTAAAGCGCCTCATCAAGCAGCATTCTACAAAAAAAGCGAGGCCGACGACGACAAAGAAAGCGATGGTGGGACGCGGAAGTAAAAGCCGCTATCAGATTGCGACAAGAGCTGAACAGGGAGCACCGCACGGTCCTTCTTGGTGGCCACAGTGACCAAGTTCCTTTAAAGTGGCATGCGTACCAACTCCCGAAGCAAGCCGCAAAGCAACTTGTCCAAGAGAAAATGGATCAGGCTGACATGGTCACAATGAGAGAAATCAGTGCAAGCGGAAGAGATGCACCTAGGAAGTTCTGGAGGTACCTAGGAACTCTCAACGGAAGGGAGCAGTGCCTCACTATCCTGGATGAAGACACAGGGCAGCCAACAGAGCGACTCGAAAATTGTCTTACAGATCATCTGGTAGAGGTGTTATCACCTCCGGAAGCGGCACCGCTACAGGATTTAAGCCCGACGGAAGGTACGGCCTTGACGCCGGATGACACTACCTGTGTAACAATCGGGAGGGTGTCCCTTATACGCGCACTGGCGCATATTAAGAACAACACCGCCCAAGGCTTAGACAAGATTCCGGCAAGCGTGCTTAAGGCGTTGGGGAGAAAGCCCAGGGATCAGCTGGGCGGACATCTTCGAGAACATTCTGTCTGGGACAGAAGGGATTCCTCGAGACTGGAGGGGTGGTCGGGTCGTACTGATTCCTAAAAAAGGATGTGATCGTCATTATCTTCGACACTACAGACCTCTGACCGTAACAAGTACGGTGTATAGGACTTTCGCTTACATCATGAAAGAGCACATAACCGCATGGGCGGAGAAAGAGGGTTTAATGACGGAACTCCAAGGAGGCTTCCGACGGGGGCGCCGATTGGAAGATTACCTGTATACCCT